GAATTATTCCACTCTGCTGGAGAACATGGACCCTGGGACAAACTTGCCCTTTTGCTACTTGCAAATACCTGTAACTGATACTAACTGAACCACAGGACCTTTTTTTTTTTTTAAAACACATAGAAGATAACGTATATGAAAATACAGTATTCAGTGCTATTTCAAATAAAATCCAAAGAAGATAGGTCACAGTAATTTTTATACGTTTTAAGGAAATAACTAATAATTTGAGGAGATACTTCATAATGAAACATGGATCATTACATCTGTATGTGCACATGCCTGGGAACGTGATCAACAAACTTTAATAAGGGCTCACAAACGGCACAAAAGTGAAAAGCAAAGTAGCAGGATTTAGATGAGGTCTTATTAAACCCAGAAAAGGACAACCCCAAGTGTTAATGGCTCGCAGAAGAAAGACTGCTACTCACAGGAGCCCAGAAGATACAGTCAAAAGAACAAATCAGTCTAGATGTTCAGGCAAAGGCTTTAATCAATCTTCAAGTGCCACTTTACCTCTAGGTTTGCTACCAAATTTTGAGAACTGGAGAAAAATAATATTTCATTTAAAAAGTGTAAGATTTTTTTTGAGCACTTAATATCTTAGCAATGGGCATCATCACTTTATCAGTTTTCAAATCAGTATGGTACTGTCTTGGTTAATTGTGTGAACTTGAGTAAGAGCTTACATTAGTAGGATGCTTCCATTTTTATTTAGGAATATTGTTATTGCTAAATTTATTATTTAGGAATTCTGTCTTAGTAATGCTGTCATTTTAGTCCAATAACTTGATTAGTTTTATTTTTCCCTTGTAACAGGTAACTAGTTACATATTAAACCCTCCATTTTAATAGAATTGGACAGTATTTGCAATCAAGCAGCCAAGGCTTAGGGAACTTGATTACAGGAACATTATGGTAAGTGTCTCACCATCAGCTTATTTTCAGTTTCATTAAAGGAACTTTGCATAGGACCTTGGAAGGTAATTTTAAGACAACAGCTCAAACTGTAGAGCATAAATCACAACACCTCATTAGCAAAGTCTCTTACCTTCATGAAACTTACTTCTTTTGGGGAAGTCTGGAATGAATTATAATGAATTTTTGCTCTTGAACGAGCTAGTAGAAAGATAACGTGTGCATTGTATCATGCTGAGACTGACCAAAGAAGCCAATTTGACATAATTCTGTTCTGCAAGCGTTTTATTGCCCTTTATTAGAAAATTAACCTAGATTCCTTATGTGACAGTGGGCTTACAATTGAGGCAAGCATCAGTCCCTTATTATCTTAAAAAACTTTCATACCTTTGTCTGTAAACCTCCCACGGGCAGCTCCATACAACACTGACTCTTTCTCTCTTCCTGCTGCAGGACTGGCTAACTCCTTCCTGTCCCTCACACAACATCTTATCCTTGCAGTCCCTTGCACAACCACCTGACCCTCCCTCCCCACAGCACAGGCAGCAACCTCTGCCCCTCCACCAGCTAACTCACTCTTTATAACACCCATCCTCCTTGGACATAGCTGTGACCTAGGAAGGGGCAAGGCTGTTCCCACTCTTTGGAAAATAGTACAGCTGCAATTTATCAGGGGTGAGACTGCCCTCAGCACTATCTCTATTCTCTGATAATCCATCCTCCCACAATTAATCAGTGATCTTTTTCTTCTGAGAAAAAGAAAGGGTTTTTTTTGCTACCCTTTTATATCTACCAGGAGTTTAGCAAACCCTAGTTTTAGAAAAAGTTAAACACCAATACGCATATTTTTGGTCCCAGACTCTGTCCTCACATATGGCAGTGTCATCACAGAGATTAGTAAATATGCTATTGCATTGAAAGACAAACAAACAAAAAATCATGATACTCTATAACTATATCCCCTAACAAATGGCTTAATTTGTTTCCAGTACTAAGAAATTGTAAACTAATTAATTTACATTTACTGTACACACGCAGCTTTGAGAACATTAGCATCTTCTGTTTGGTTTTTCTTTTTTTTAAAATCACATTTGCTTTGTTTACATGAAAGAAAAAAATCATTATTTATACTGGACTTAAAGTCAGCTGGTTCTTTCCAGCTGAGACCATCATTAGGGTATGTTTCACAAGTCAGCTGCTACTGAAAGTCTGAATGTAATCTAGCCAGTTCCTTAGAGAAGCCTTAGCTCTCCAAGGATGGATGAAGTAAAAGTATAATGTCGTAAGAACACTGCAACAAACTGGAAAGTACATTAAAATCCCCAAAGTTCTTATATGAAAGTGGCTTTATGTGTAAAAATACTACTTTTTTGTTTGAAATGTTGTATATTTAATAAAAGCCCTTATAAGTAATGAAATAATTTTAACTATTACATCTTTGAGTTGAAAACTAAAGAAACACAGGAATATTGCAAAACAGTACTTGACAAGTTAGAATGAAAGAAATCTTCCCTGAAATTAATCCTTTACCAGAAAAAAAGTCCTTTAAATTATAGAGAATTATAACAGACGATTTAACATTAAAATCTGAAATCCTTAGCTATAAAAGAACAGAATTTCAAGGTATTCCCCACAGTTTGGATAAACAGAGAACATCATATAACTATTTCCCATTCCCACTGTCACCAGCACCTACTTTCTAGATTTTAAAGAAACCGAATAATAGTTCAGAACTCCTGTGAGGATCTGTCTTTTTTTCACCTGTAGGGAAGAAACTCATCAGCATATAACACTCTAATAGCTGGTTATAAGGCATGATTGGATTATAAAATTAATTGCAGAGATTCCAGCAGCTTGTCTCAGTAACATATGTGAGGCAAAAAACTCTCTCTAAATCCCCCACTACTCCAGGCCTGTCAGGACAAAAAAGTCTCAGCACTGAAATTATAAATGAAAATAAATAAATAAATAAATAAATAAATAAATAAATAAATAAGGCTTTGAGGGTTTTTGTTGTTATTCTTTCCCACTGCCACGTTAATATTCTGCAACAACTTATCGGATAAATTGGTCTTGCATCTTGCACATCATCAATTTAAGCCTAGATTATTTTCAATTCAAATATGAATACCTGACAGCTACATATGATTTTTTCTGATAATTCAATGTAAAAAGTTCACATGCAGACACTGTTCTTTTTTTATTACTTGTGCAGTAGGTCAACAAGACAGTTTAAAAGCCAGCTAAACAAGCAATATATGGACTTCAAGGAAGAAAATTCAAAGTCAGTAAGGTCTGATCTGTAAACATGTTCTTGTAGTCTGAATGAAAAATGTTTTAAAAATATGTAATTTCACGTATTTGATTATCATATTAACCAGATTTTTATAATGTCTTATTACTGGATTGTTTCAAAGAATATAGAACATCTCATTCTTCGTAACTTTACATGACAATCTTTTCGATGCACTCACCAGGATGTCAGCCTAATATATTGTAATTACTATGACACCTTCCAGTTATCAAGTTATCTGCTCATTTTCCTTCTATATTTTACATCGTGTAATGGGAAAGACTCAATGTTTCTACTTGCAATTTCAAGCATCAGACTTTGTATACAAGCAAAAATTCAAAATGAACTTCCAGAAGGCAGAATCTGTCAAGGCACTGAAACAACCACATACACAAATTTAGTTCAATCCAATTACCCTGGATCAGCTTCTACCACAGTTTAACACCTCAAGTTTTATAAATGAAAACAAGATAAATTCCACCACACAGCTCAATTTAACAAAGATATAAAAATACCAAAGGCCTGCCATGAACTTCAGCACACTGATCTATCAAACAAACACAAAGCAGTGATGCAATGGCCTGGAGATGTGGCTGGTATCAGAGGCCAAGACCTCTAGCCAGGTTTAAGACTTACGGTCCACCTGAAAATGAATCACATTACCACCCATGCTCCAGATTTGTTAAAGTTATTCAGGTTTCTTCTTTAGAATCATTTAAGGAGGACAGTTGTTAGTTCTACATAACCTAAACAGACTGGTTTCCTGTAACGTAAAAGGATAGCACAAGCCTGTTTGTAAAGAGGGAAAAACTTAATACACACATTAACAGACTTAACACTCATCAGTGACTCTTGCTGCACAGCAATGAAAATACACCTGGATGTCTGTAAAAGAAATCTGGGAAACCCACGTAACTATTTCCTATGACAAATTTGATTGTTTAGCATACAGAAGTGTACTAGGGATCACATACTAGAAATATTATCCATCAGGAATAATTATTTCCACATAATTAACACGCATCTGAGTTGTGATTACTACCATGTGTACAAACAGTTCAGCTGAACTGTGACTTCTGTGCCCAGACAACCTAATATGCACGGAGATGTCCTACTTAATACCTGCTGTGAAATTATCCCTAGTTTTGCCCTTGGCCTGTTTTCCCTCTTTTTTTATTAATTTTACAGCTTTTAAAGTAATAATTTGCTAAGAACTTTCCTGAAAGACACATTTTAAAGCATCTAAAGAGTTGCTTCGTAAAGCGAGCCTGCTATTGAAAAGTCGTGAACGGCTTCAATTCAATTCTCAACAGAAGGATTAAGAGAAAAACTTATGGACTAAGATATATTTAAAAACAACTTTGATAAAAGAAGGGACTTTGATCGGCTTTTTGCCCGAATTCTGCAATACAGATTGCTAAGGACAGTAACTCTTTCAAATTCTCTTGACAAAACATAAAATGCTCAGTATCTTATTGAAGCATTTCCAGCTTTCTATGATCCTGACACAGACTCTCAAAGAAAAGAAGGTAGAAGAGTTCCTCATGTTTAACAGATGATTGCAATTACCATGAAAAGGTACGGATTTCTGACCACAAAGTATTCCAGTCTGAATCTAGACAGAAAAGGTACTCAGCTACTCGAGATTTCAAGACATAAACGTACATGATTAAAATTTTAAGTATTTATATATAGTAAAAAAATTTTATCCAGTAATATACAGCTTTTTACTTAAAATGTGGTTTACCCTTTACCACAGGTACACAGATAATAAAAAAAAGGTAACGAAGCCTTTAGAAATATAGTTAAATTTTATTTTTGTTTCCATTGAAAATTAAAATAGGTTTCTTACAATTCCCTTCACTATTTCAGCTCTTGAATTAGCTGGTGCTCATCAGGGCCCACCTCTTCTTCTTCATTCAAGTCTTCTTTTGCTTCTCCATCTGTCACCTCAGGGTGACTGCACGCAGCATCCCTAGCTGAGAGCTTTTTCATTTTGATGTTTGGCAATTTCCTCAGATCACCATCCCATTCTCTTAAAGACAAAAAATAAGTAATGAAAACCAATTACCAACGGAAAGGAAGGAATGGCAGAGTTGATTCACATTTCCTCAGAAGATGGTAATTCAAGTGAGGCTGCTGTTCCAAGTTATCCTCTGTCCCACTGTGGTATGTATGAATAAGCACCAAAGATTTCACCTGATTTTGTACACTACAGAAGCTGTAATTTCTGTATGAAGAAATAAGTACTTTCAGATATGAGATTTCGAAACGAAAATATATTATTCACTTTATTCCCACAGACTTAGTGTACCCTCAGCATATTTTTGGCCACCTGCTTTTAAGTTTGTCTCATTCAACTTGCAGTCTGGTAAGCAACAGAAAAACAGGTCAGAAGAGTTTCTTCATCTGTATGCTTGATTTGCATAGGTAACATCACATGTACCTAAGTCCCTCGTGATTTATGGTAAATGTTAACATTGTATGACTGACTTCAGGAGAACACAAAGGGTTAGTAAGCATTAATTGACATGGTGAGTGCATTATTTCAAAAGGCTGCATGAAGGAGAAAGGGTTGTTTTAAATATAAGTCAAGCCCAGTACTTAATAGAATGCTTTCTTGATTATAGTAAGTGTTCTTCATGGATAATTTTTCTCAAGGGCAAAGACAGTATCTGCCAATCATAAAATATGTTTTTCCTTTAGCAAGGCAATACAACAACACTTCTATCTGATGTCCCTGTTCAAGAAGTCTATTGCATATTTATAAATACAGCAGTCTCTCTTCTTTGGGATTTCTGGCTTTGTTCCAACATCCTGTAAGTATGACTTCTGGCTACATACTAACCCTGTGAGTCAGCGGTATATCATTCCTTGCAACATAAGCACTGCTAAGTTGTTGTTTTTTCTTTTTCCCTTTAAAGTATTTTATTTGATAGAGCTGTCAGCAAAAATGTTCACTCAATCTACTACCAGGACATACCAACATGCTGGCCCAGATGAGCCAGCAGCAAGTTGCACAGCTCCCAGATCTTTTAACTGGATGCAAGTTGCAAATTCATTTAAATAAATTTATAATAAATTCATTTAAGATTTTTGACACACATACCAACACTACTGTGAACAGCTGTGTTCAGCATTTTAGGTAAGATATTATCTAAGAATATTGAGAAAATAAGTTACTTAACTTACAGAAATGGCATTCTGTTGAATTTAAATCTTCCAATGTTTTAATTAATACCTGGCACAGGTGTTCAACTTGTAACAGCTAAGAAGTGCCAAAACAGCAGTGCCACACCTACTCTGCTTTTTCAAATGACAAATTCCCTGGCAGTTTTGTGTAAGTTCTTTTTTCTATGAAAAAAAGACATACAACAGGTGAACTTCAGAAACCCTATTCTGCATGAACAAATTATTAGTGGTAATAAAAAACCTACCTGAAAAATTTAAGATGCTTTCTGTTCATAATATCCGGGATTTCTAAGAGGAAAGGAATTAAATTCTATTAGCTGTGTTACATTATTCAAGTGAGTCTCATTTTAAAGGAAGAAATGTGAGCTAAATGACTTCTAACCAAAATGGCTACATAGGTCCTTTCTATTGCAACCAAACTGTTCTAAAAGAAACCTGCCATACATACAAAATAATATACAAATAATAAAACAAAAATAATAATATAAATAAACAAAATAGTAATACAAATCTGTATTACCTTTGCCAGTAAAAAGCAAGGCAATTATTTTGTATTGACACCTGTGGAACAGACCATTTTGCTTTTTTCCTCCTGGAGTAGCCAAAATCTTCCAACTAGAGTGTAAGTTATAAACATAGGCAGATTTTTACACAGGATGCCAAAGCTGCTTTGCCTTGACTCAGTGTCATTCCCCTCTTGGTCAGTCCTGCTGTGTTACAAGCAGCCCATGTTTAAACATCACCACTAACTTATGGAGATTTATACTGTAGCAGCCATGTTCCCACAGTATAGAACACCTCATTACTGTCTATGAACTGTACAGATTTCACAGGCTTCTCAACAAGACACATGTTTTCTACCTCTGTAACATTAAATCCACTTTATTTTAGCTCATAAAATTGTGACATTTCAGCAACTTTTATATTGTCCTTGAACAAACAGTTCTGCCTCTGTTCATCTATCAATTTCCTCAAGTTTTACAGTAATAAATGAGGTCATGCTATCAATGCAGGATTATGGATGATTTTGCTACTACAAAATGATGATGGATGATGATACCTGTGCCATTTATCTTTGTGGCCAGACAGTCCATCCTATTCAGAAAACTATTCCTTCCTTTCACACTTGGTTATGAAGTTAAGAACTGAAGAACAATTAATACATGCAAAATGTTTTGATAACAATTACAGTGATTTCTGCAGACTGCTCCCCGGTAAACAGATGAGGTGACACTGCTCACAGCTAAGCAAGGCAAGGCAAAGAAACACCTAATGCCTCTTTGGTCTGCTGATTCCTTGGTTGCATGCCACATTAGGTCCATCCTTCCCAATAAAGCCTTGAAACAAAGCCATGGTTGCTCTTGCTTTCTTTGCAGCCCCTTGAATTGCATTCATGGCAGCATAGAGACAAATGCTGGAACATTCCAGCTCCCACAAGGGAAAGAAGCTCTTCTTTTCTCCTGGGTAATTTGCAAAGAGCAATCAATGCTACTCCGTTTGGCTCTCCTACTGCATGTAGTGATGTAAACAGTGAGTTTGGCAGAAGTGGCACCATGCTGAGATTTGTATTTGCTCCTTTTATCAAGATAAAACACTGATTCAACATACAGTGCAGAGTTCTTTTCAGACAAACCAGGACTAAATGACAAGACTTTCAAATGAACCCCTTTCATTTCCTTTTCTCTTTTTTTTTAAACATTTAAAGTTTAAGCTATGCAGACCTTTTCCAAAGAGAATATTCTAACAGTTTTATCTAGTTTTATCATCCAGGGCTCACCAACATCATGAGAAAGCAGGCACTCTGAAGAGAGAAGATTCTGTGACAAACCAAGATTTGGCACTGCTTTGGCAGTGGCAAAATTTTTAAGCTATGCTTACTTGGGTGTTTACAATATGTTACACAGTAAGAATTACTGAGTTGCCAGATTAAGAATAGAACTGTGTATAGAAATAAAGTAATTCTATATTACACAATCACTGATTTTCTAAATTATGCTGGATTAGAAATACTTGTCTAACTCAGCTGCATCTCCTTAGCATGCATGAATGTCATGGTTTTTTGCTGCTGCTTTGCTTTAAAATGTTAAGTCACCAGGAGCATGTTTTTCTGAACTGATGATAGAAAAAAATATAAGAGAGAAATATGGAACAGGAGTTAGTGGGAAAGAAATGAAGACAGTATTTTGGGGAGTAAATTATTGTCTGGCACTTCCAAGACAAAGTCTTCAACAATTTAAGTAAATATTTTTAAATGTTAATGACCCTTTCAGATAGTTTTACTTTGCTTTCTTTTGAGGAAGAACAAACACCTTGTTAAAAAGAAGGAAACTATAGATGCTTTTCAGGCAAAAAATTATTCAGTTATACAGTAACAATCACTACAGATAACAGCAGCTAACTAATAGTACAGAAGTTACATTAGCAGATACATGAAAATGATACAGCTTTCATCTGAATTAAATTTGTTTCCCTGTAATGTGAAGCCTCCAGAACTTAAAAAACCTAGTGTATTAAGTTTTAAAAGCCACTTTCCCCAAAGATTAATATTATGCATCTGAGAGAACATGCAAGGTAATTAGAAGCAAATTATCAAAAATGGTTGATGTTCAGATGAAATAATTATGATGCTTTTCCACTGAAAGCATGCTATCTCTGGGTTACTAATAAATAAATAAGTATCTAGCATTGCCTTTCAATAGCTTTGCTATAAACATGTAAAACCAGATTAAACAAAAAACCCAAATACACAAAAATGAAAACAAGAGGAAGAAAACTGCAGTAAAACTACTGTAGGTATATTTAAGGATTAAGTGACAAGGAGCTGCTAACCCTCAACATTACTGATAATGTTCCCTGTAACAGTATAGCTACTGTTTGTTTAGAAAAAGACTAAAATTTACTAGATTTTAGGATGCATACCAGTTTTGTAAACAAATTTTTACATTTTGTAAAGGATTTGTTTTTCATTTACATATAGCCTTCACAAGACAAGAGGAAATGTCCTCAAGCTACACCCACCCAGGGAAGATTCATGTTGGACATTAGGACAGATAATTTTTCACTTAAAGGGCGGTTAAGCATTAGAATGAGCTGCCCAAGGAAGTGATACAGGAATCAGCAGCCCAGGAAGGGTTCAAAAAATTACTGGATGTGGCACTTAATGCTATGGTCTAGGTGGCATAGTGGTGTTCAGTCAAAGGTTGGACTTAATGATCTTGGAAGTCTTTTCCAACCTAACTGATTCTGTGATATAAACAGACTGCATCAAATTTTAGACTTCCCTAAATGAAAAGAATACATATTATTCAGTCTCTTCATAGCAAATGCACATGCATACAAGAAATAACTGAGTTCAAGAACAGGGTAGGGGAAAACCCAACAAATCTAAGTCAGTTAAAAAAGCTCCACTCACTAAAGCTTCGAGGATTAATAAAGAGCAAGAGGCATAAAAGCACTGTTTCCAGCTGATTTCCATTTATGCCCAATCTCTAATTACAGTATTTAGTTGCTATAGTACTTAGCAGCAACTATTTTCTCTGAATGAACACTGTCCTAGACAGAGAGCAAAACCTGCAGCAGCTGTGATAACAAATAATGATTTGAAAGCGTATTTAATATGTGAAGTTGCACTGTGCTCTGAATGCTTTACTTACTAATTCTATAATAGCCTCCAATTTTGCCTACTAGCTTTGCCTTTCTAGCTTCTTCCTTATTGTTATGTTGTACTTGTGAAATTGACATCTTTTTCTCTCACCCTACTGCCTTTTTCTGTGAGCTTTCCACAAAGCAGTAAGGAAAAAAAGAATTAAAATTTCAAAGAAAAAAACCTAAAATACTTTCTACAATTGAGCTGTTTGATGACAATGACAGAATATATTTTCCTATTACATTTTCCCCCTCCTATAAGACACCAAAGGTTACACATGAAGTAATAGAGATATTCCTAAATTCTTCTGCCTCTGCAGGCTGCACAGGCAAAATTTTAAAGCCATTCATTTTCTTGATTTGTACAATACTTATCAGGGTGTGCTGATTTTGGCTGGGGTAAAGTTGATTTTCTCCACAGTAGCTAGTACAGGGCTGCATTTTAGATTAGCTGGAAATGGTGTTGATGAAAATAGGATGTTTTCATTATTCCTGAGCTGGGCTTGCACAGATCCAAGGCTCTTTCTGCTCCTCACCCCAGCCCACCAGCGAGGAGGCTGAGGGTGCACAAGGAGCTGGGAGGGGACCCAGCTGGGACAGCTGACCGGGGAATATGACACACAACATAAACCTTGCTGTGCTTTGTATCCTAACTACAGAATAATGTAGATTTTTCATGTTTTCCACGACACATTGTACTATTAGAAGGATCAAGTATGTCTGGATAATACTTCAGCATTGAAGTCAAGTTCACCACTCAGCTTCAACATGCACGTTATTGGTTACAACAAAATACAAACACTTCCCTGCTTACCTTGCCTATCCCCAAACTACTCCTCGTTTTTTTGCACTTTCATTATCCCTTTATCTTTCTTCCTTATTTTACCAAACTATTGCTGCTTCCCTTCAGTCTAGTTCCAGCTATCAAATGAAGGTCCAAACAAGATGCTGAACAGAATTTGTATTCAAGGCAGGTGCATTAAAAGCTCACATGAGTTTCAAAAACAGGTTATATATGCCTGCCGTGAAAATACAGTACTAGCAAAGATGCACAAAGGCAAAAGTAGAATAAACGAATCAGATCTCCACCATCTTTTTTCCTCCTTTTCTTCACCATGGCCCTCCTCCCAAATAACTCTGCAAGGCACAAGCACCTAGCACTTAGGAAACTTCTTTAAAGAGAAAAATAAGGACAATGCCTAGAAAGTTTGCTTAGATTCTGGCCTTGTGAGCAGGTGTGAAGATTTAATTTTTTCCAATGCTTTTACATACCTATTCCATAGCCCTCATAGAGCTGTCTTTCACGTTCTATTGTCTGCTTGATGACAGTTTCCCGTGAACCATGCTGTCTTCCTTGTCTGCCTTTAATACTGTTTTGTAATTCAATCTGCTCCAATTCAGCATTGAATCGACACATATAACTGAAAGAAATAAAATGCATAAAAGCTAAATGTAGTCATACAAAAAAACCTGCAAAACAGAATTACTCTGATAAATTGTTTTACTAACTGTATTTCTTTTTTAATTTATTTTCGTTATTTATTGGAGACTCAAGGAGTAAGAAGTACAAAATCTGTGCATTCAGGTATCACAGAATAACCCAACAAGCAAATGCATGTGATTACTGCCATCTAAATAATTTAAAGTCCTTCACACACTACAAAACTAGGGATATACTTAAATAATTTTAAAAAACCTACAATACAGCATATTTGAATAATTCGAGTATGACTATATATGTCTCTCAATATTTCTCAGTGGCAACAAGATTAACTACCTGATATAATTAATAGCAATATATAAAAGACCTCCTCTGAGTGATCATCACATTATTTTTAAAGACAAGTCAAGGTTTTTCATCTTGTTTTAACACTAGTCTTACTTTTCAATTAGTTCACCAGCTTCCTTCTTTGTGTACTCGATTTTATCAGGGTCAAGGTGACTTTGAAACCATTGTAGTTTTTCTCCTACAAGAATAAACTTAACATTAGTGGTTACACCACCACTGTAACATCAATACAGATTGAAGTTTCCCAAAGTTATTTAACTGCCCCCCATTTTCAAGATTTTGAATAGCATCATGGACTCTGATACTGTGGGTACCAGGTATGAAGGCAACTGTAACAGGAACATTCCCAGATAATTCCAGATTCATTTTATATCTTCCTCACAGGAAAAAAAAGACATTAAGCTTTGTTTAACTGGAAATTAATTAAAATATCACTATCTCAATTGCTTAGGAAGGAAACTTAGAAAAGGGGGAAAAAAGCCAACACAGTGGCTGAGGAAGAGTTTTGATTGTCACATCTGTTTTTAAACAGATTAAATTGAAAAGGTGCAGGATCAATCATATGGACGAGAAAAATATTCCAGGTTGTGTCTCAAAGTTTTGAATTTACTTGCTAACATAATATATCTTTTAACCTACATATATCATCTTCTTTTACAAGCAATTATAAAAAGCTTGGAGACCAAATACAATAAATACATGTATAGATGTACAAAACACTCGTTTGGTCTATACTGTTCTGCTGTTGTGTACACTGACTAAAGATTAGCTATGCTCAGCCCCAAATTCAGTCCTGTATATATTAAGTGGACATGTCAGGTATTTCAGTATTTCAATCAAATCTATCTGAAGATTGCAGAATCAGATTATAGAAAAAGAACCTCTAAAAGACTGGTAAAACTTAGAATCTCTTCTAAGAAACTGAATACTGTACTCAGTAATAGAAGTTTCTGCTTACCAATAATACTTAAACGCAAAGCTTTGTCAGTCTTCAACCTAGCAGAGAAAAAACAGATATGTTAGTCAGGAATGAGTATCATATAAATAATGTCCTTGATTTTATTATCAAAAAGGTGTGTTTTTTTCAAGTCACAATGAAAGTCAAGGTAAAATTTCAAATAAAAATATTTTACAAATTCCAAACAATGTAAAACTTCTTCTGTTTAATCCAAAATATCTACTTTCTTGTAAAACTACTAGCTGAAATTTGTCCAGTTTACCTATTAAGCTAAAGAGTTTCTTGGAAGAAAAAAAAGACCTAACATTTTTCTCAGAGCACAACAAAGGAATGTCAATGAAGAGCTGCATTGTCACACTTTCCTTAAGTATTTCTGATATTCTTCTGGTATGTTTAATGAGTTGGAGATTTCACTGCACTGCATTCTTGCAAATCAAGCATGCAATGTGAAAAACACCATTCTGTTACCTTAAAACTTGCAATAATTAAAGTTTGTGCTTAGCAAACACTAAGTTAATGTGTTAAGAAACCTAAATTAACAACTTCATTAAAAGATGAAAAACCCCCAACTCTGTCTCACAGTACTTTTAAGTCCACTTGAATCTCTGGGAGAATACTCAAAAGCCTTCTGTACTCTGCGAGATGTGGGTACACAGTTCTATTTGAGATTCATTTCCATCCTAATTAGTTCTCAAAAAAGACAATTTCTCCAACAAGAAATCCCGTGCCTCATGCTCTTTTGTCCTCAAGGTGTCAGTTTCAATCTGCATCAAAGAATGTTGCAATGTTCTGTTGTTTCCAGAAAGGAAACAAGACTCTATTGGGGTAAGTATGAAATTTGTCACTGGAAAAAATATCCTAGCCATGCACATTCAGTGTATATATTCAAGGACCTCTGCTAAAATTGACCCTTTTATCATTTTTAATAAATAGGAAAATTGGTAATAAGTAAATCATAAATTGACAAAGTATTAATAATGCTAAAATTCATCACATTTCAAAGCTATTGTGCTTCTTTATTAATTTCCTTTTACTCTGTAAAATTTAATAAGCTTTTTAGAGTTAACTGAAGTAACTCAAAAGCACAGAAGTCTGTCACCTACTACAAAAACTGGGATCAAAAGATACACCCTTACTTTCCAGAGACAAACATACTTGTGTCACTTGTCCACAAACCCATATTATTAAATAAAGATTAAATTTTTCAGTAAGTATTTAATCCTCTAAAGACTGTCTAAAAGCCATGTACAAGCAAATGCACAGCATATGTGAGCTGCTAAGAATTCCACTAAATTAATATATTAAAGAAATTCACATATTAAAGAAATTTTTACTTCTATGGATGCCCCAGCATGTGTAGAAGTCTTCAACAAAAGCTGGGCAGACTTTTATCCTCAGAGGACTTAAAGCAGGGTGTTTGGATGGTAACAGCATCCAAGAAAAACACACTGCACTCAGTGGAACTCTGCACAGCAATCCCATCTGAAAGCCCTGCAAGGCAACACCACCAGACAAGCCTGTCTGCAAAACCTGCCATGGAGAAAACTACAATGGCATCTAGGAAAGCTGCCTAAAAAGAATGATGTCACACATCTACATTCTAAAACACTACAAACTGCCATTTGCACCTGCTAAGGCCACTATATCATTTATTTATCAAAGCAGCGAAGCATGGAACCATTTTCTTCTAGAAGAAAAACCTTTAGTCTCCTGGTGCACAAAACTTATTCCAGTATGAGAAATAATGAATGATAGGCTCGGATGTTGCCTTATTGTACTTCTCATAAAAACCTCACCTCAGTCACTGCTAGAAGACAACAGCATTAGCAGTGAGGCTAATCAAATCAGGTGAGTCAAAGAAACTTGCTCTCCTTCCACACAATGAGTAATAGCTTTTGCTTAAGGGAAGGAGAGGGTAAGGCTAGGGATACAATCTTTTGGCAGGCTGTTGTTTCTTGATAATTTTCTTCATCACCCACCTACCAGAAATCCTCTGCTTAGGCAATGATTATTAATAAGAATAATTAGTGGTTTTTTTGATGTCTACTAGGTACTTAAAAAGTAAATTCCACATGTTCTTTCAGCAGCTCTTTATCCCAGATATTGTATTCAACTGTTCTACTCTTAATAGTAACAATGGCTAAATAGTTTCCAAATCAGTCTACAAACTCAGTATTTTTCCCCAATAATATCCGCACATGCCATCTATGGCTCTGAAAATTAAAACAGGCTTTTCAAAATAAATAATTTTAAAAGCTAATAGCTTAATTTCCTCATGAAGAATCTGCAAAAATATGTAAGTGCCACAAGCAATGCAAGCAGAAGCATAGTGGGTCAAGAGAGATTAGGTTAGACAGGGGAAAACTTCAGAAAAAGCAAACACAGAGTTCTACCAGGAGACATTTTAAGGTTGCTTACTCCTAAAGGGTGACTTCACACTCCATCACTGTAAAAACTCCTTAGGTCTCATATCTCAGAGCATGCCAGTATTTCACTGGCTTATTTGTAATGAAAATGCACTGACTCCTAAGAAATTTATCGTGCATGCACAATAGAAACGTCCCTCTCAGGAGGGCAAACGACAGAAAGAAAAATGCACAGCTAGATTAGCTTTAGCTATTAAAACCAGATAGGTATTTCTGCAGTTGCAGGAAAATATGACTGGTGTTGGTACATCACTACTACGCAAGTTTCATTAATTTCCCACTATGGTCTGTTTTCCTAAAGTGCAGAAAAGTCAGTGTTCTACTACTGCCAGTGAAGGAGCTATTACTGTCTCATAAAAACATCCATGTAATTATTTAACAGAGCAAACAAGCTGCCTAAAGGAAAAAGGATTCATATGTAGATTAAGAGAGAATAAACTGGGAGTGATACACTGGAAGTTGTTGTTGCTCATTAGACATCGAAGAGAACTGAGGAGAAAGGGATGCAGGCAAGAAAAAGGTGTCATTTAAGTGAACAAGATGATTTGAGATTGTAGCCAATTTTCTAAAAGCAATTGGTCTGTCTCCTCTTATTATTCTTTAAGATTGATCTCTTGTAGTGCAGTCAAAGTTTCTGGACAGTAAATTTGTAATTCCTGTCATATTTCATTACGAATGTTTGCAGTGAAGAGTGCACAATGGAGCCCATAAAAGACTTTTGCAACTTAATGCAGAATTTCTCCCTCCTTTTTCCCAGTGCTGCATTTTAAATATTGAAATTCCTTGTGGACAATGTCTACCCTTTTTTACTATCTCGTTTGGGCAAAAAGATACTGCAATATGCATCTCATAACTTAATGCAATTTTCCTTCCTGTATAACATAAACAGGAACACTCACAGTAGTTATTTCGTTACATCCATGCTACAAGAAAGTTAATAAGCAAATAGAAGCCTAAACGGTCTCCAGGCCTGAATCCTGTCTCCAGACAAGTACCTAAGGAAAAAAAACCCAAAAACCAACCAAACCAAAACAAGCAAAACAAAATAAACAAACCACACAAAACCAAAAACACTGACTGATATTTCTATAGAAGATATTCTCACCTTCCAGTAACATACCATTCAAGGGCTTCTTACACCCTATAACTTTATGTGAAACAGTAATCAACCAATAAAATGTACCTAAGTTCAAAAAGTGTTACTGCACAAATTTAGCCAGCCATAATTAGAGCATCCTCTGGCAAGGGAAATCCACAGCTTAATAAAAATAGTACAGACAAACTATGGACTTGCTACATTCACAGACTACTCTAATCCAATTTTTCCATTCTGCAGAGGTACATTAGCCTGTACAGAGAAATTATCCCCTTTACTCAGGCCTGGCGAGATCACATTGAGAATTCTGTTTCTAGTTTTGTGCCTTATTCACACTTCAGACAACTTACTTCTTTCTACACAATAACAAGCATGGTCAAAAAAGTGCCAGATTTGTAGATGCGACTAAGAAAGAAAATTCTGTAGAGATTACAAGACAGCTTCTCCTACTTACCACCAAAAGATGTATTAACCTTCCACCAAAGAACAGGGCTGTCATTCAATAGAAGCAATTTGGAAAATTGTTTAAAGACATTTAATAGACCTGCAGAAGCAATGCGGAAGAACAAATCTGGTGTGAGCTATTTCTTTTTCCCGAGAGTGTAGGAGTGGAAAGCTTCCATCCATTTCCAGCATCAGAAATCTGTCTTGTCTTTTTCAGAGCTATACAAAATGAATCCAAGTCTCATCATTTTATTACAGAAACTGAAAACTAAGTAATTACAATAAAAATTTCAACACATATTTAATTCTCAATATTTAAAAAATCCTGAGAATTTACCAAGCTGATCAGAAATAGGAACCCTTAACAAGTCTTTAAAAAACACTAAGGAGGGAAAAAATCATAATTATTCACATCTTTCCAATTAAACTGCTCTTCAAGACAACACAGAAAATAGAATATAGACAATTGGATGATGTTTTTAATGCAACTAATTTCTAGAACACCAAAACAAAAGTGATATACACAGTACAGAATTTTAGTTAACTATTCAGGCCCCAGAAGCCTAAGATGGAGAAATATTATTTATAAGATATAAAGACATAAAATATAAGATCATTTTGCTATCACAAAATGCTGTGGATGGTCAAAATTGACACACTATTCTTGATGGAATGGCTTCCCTACGCAAAATGAAAGGTTACATCTTTTACAATCAGACTAGATTGAAATAGCAGGGGTAGGGCTTCTTCAAATACGCCAGTGACCAAAGGAAAACTAAGGCTAACGTGGGCCTCTTACTGAATTGAGGGGGACCTTGGCAACAGAGGACAGAGAAGGCAGAAATACCGAACATCTTCTCTGCACGAGCCTTCACTGCCAAGAACAGCCCTCAAGAATCTCTGACCAGGGTTAAGGTATGTCAGAAGGAAGACTTTCCCTTGGCCAAGGAGGATTGGGCTAGAGAGCACCCAGGCAAACTTGACATCCACAAAGCCATGGGCCCTGAGGGATGCATCCATGACTGCCAAGGAAGCTGGCAGAGACCATGGCTAAACCACTCACAGTTATCTTGAAAACGTCGTGCAGATGAGGGGAGGAGCCTGAGGACTGGAAGAAAAGAAATGTCACCCAGGTCTTCCAAGATGGCAAGGAGAACCCAGGGAACTACTGGCGAGTCAGCCCCACCTGAATCACTGCAAAGGCAATGGAGCACCTCATTCTGGAGGCCAACTCTATCCATAAGCAGGACATGGAGCTGATCAGGAGTAGTCAGCATGGATTTATTAATGGTAAGTCATGTTTGACCAACCTGACTGCCTTTTACAATGAAACAACTGCCTGGATGGAAGAGGGGAGAGCAGTGGATATTGTCTACCTCAGTTTCAGCAGGGCCTTTCAGCTTTTTCCTGTTGCAAGAGGAAGAAAAAGTAGCACTCCAAGAAGAAACATCATCACTGTGTCCTATCAGTGTAACTCTAACCATAGGAGACTATGAGACTAAAAGATTTGAGTGTGCCACGTCACAATGAATAATCAGTAAGCATCGCTGCCTCACTATGTTTTCTTATGCATGTTTTTTTGAATGATGAAGTCACAAATGCAAGCACTAAGAATCAAGTAAGATAAAGTCATATTTTCTGATTAAGAGCTGTGAGTGGTTGTTATGACACAAGGTGAGAGAGCTAAAGGATAAAGCAGTCAATTTAGCAGTAGGAAAATAATCTGCAATAAAAACTTACAATCAATAGTCAGAGAGCACAGAAGAAACACGAAACAGCAGGGGAAACCTCTTGCACATTAAGAAACTGCCCAATCCTCAACATATGCTACTTGTGAATTCTTGCAGCATCCCTGCTGGAGGCTACGTGACCCCACTGTGGCAGCAAAGGCCCCGCTTCTAGTGAAAGCAGCGGTGCACCTGCTCTGGATAAGGTCGCACATCGATACCAACAATAAAAATGCACAGTCTCTGGACCACGAGTTTCCAATTTAACACCTTCAGAAAAATGAGTATTTGTGGTCAGCTCACATGGTCCATCCAGACACTACAATTTATACAGATACAAATGATATTGTTTATATAGTGCTGTAGTTAGACCAAAAATACTTTAAGCTAGCTTTAGTAACTTCCTAAATAAACATGTATGCATAACAATGACCAAGCTGAGACAAGGTAAATTAAAGGCCAGTCTTCACCCACTGTCTTTTCCCTCTGTGGGAGAGGGAAGTAAAACCTAAAAGCAGAAAAATAAACTTGCCATGGAAGAGCAGAAAACCACCAATGAGGAGTTAACTATACAGTTTTATTCAGAAGTCTGTATTCTGCAGGAAGGTTTCTGGGTTTTCTTAGTCAAGCAGCACAACAACACACTTTGTATAACCTGATACTTCACATGTATTAAGTTATACAGGCCTTTCTGTTACCTTATGGTTATATCAGCATAACAGTTCCTGTCCACTACCACAAATAAAAAGCATCCTTTGTGATGTTATTCTTTGGTCTGTAGAGAGGTTTTGCAGTTAACTTACTTTTCTTTCTTCTCCTGTTTGTGTACTTCCCTTGCAAGCTGTGCAGCTTTTCTGCTGTAGGGATGGATAACTTTTTTTTCTTGCTTCCCTCCTTGAGGTTTTCGTAACTTTGGCTGAAAAGAAATCAAAGATACTATGCACTAATAAGGCTGAGTAAAATATGAAAGGGAAGATAGAAGTCCATGCCACAGTGAAAAGTTAAAAGATCATGCACTGATATCTAAGAAAGCCCTTAACTTTCAGTAACCCATTATCAATTTCACCCGCTTCAATAACAAAACTACTTGAAGCCAGTACATGCTGTAACAAAACCACTAGAGCACAGGAAATGCTGTAAGAAATCTTACATAGTGACTACTGTCAAAATACCTACTTCATAGAACTCTGCTGCTAGGAAACTAAGATTAGCCCTCTGTACCTTGGCACAAAAATGTCCCCATTCAAGCTTCTATCTGAGCCTCGTGTAATTTGTACAACGTAATAAAAGTGATTTTCTTGTTCCTCCCAAGAGATCATTGGAATGCCTCACACCAGGGAGCAGCCAGAGGCTTTCCTTCTCTAGCACTTCATAGTGCACAGAGAGGGAATACCACTCACGAATTTCCAAAGTGCATAATACTACTCTAAGTTATGCTAATTTCTGGTAAGAAAGTGAACATAACTGAAAGGCTTTATGAATTAATATGCTATTTAACTGCACCCAAAAGAAACACCTTAAAGCAAGGGGGCTTTCCTGCATCACAATGGCCATCAGTAAACGGAGACTACAGTACATCCAATACTCTGCTATAGTATCATGCTTAGGGCTGCGATAAAAAACATGGAGTCAAAGACAAAACTACTCCGAACACCGGGAAATCTCAGGCGGCGGCACCTCCGACCTGCTCCACACGCGGACAGCACTCCCCCCGCCCGGCCGCCGCTCTGCCGGGAAGGGCCCGAAGGACGCAAACCCCCAGGGAGGAAACGCAGCAGTTTTTAAATGCAAGGTCGGCTCACCGCCGGTATTGGCCCACAGGGCCGCCGGCTCGCCGCAGACTCCCGAGGCCTCTCCAGGGACGCGGTGGCGCCGCTCCCGGCGGGAACGAAGGGGCCGAGAGCACCGCGTGAGCAGCCACCGCCATCCTCAGAAGGGCCGACTGCGGGAACCGCACCGCACCCCTACCCGCACCCCTGTCTCTACCCCGGGCCCCGTCCCCACGCCGCCACACGCACCATGACGAGCGAGCCTTTTTCCGGCGCCGCGGTGCAGCAGCCTCAGCGCTCCGGGCGGGCTCGCGGCCGGCGCGCCGGGCGTTCCGCGGCTGCCACCGTTCCGGGGCGCCCCCAGCGCCGCTCGGCCCGAGCGGGCCGGGCCGGGCCGGGCCGGGCCGGGCCCAGAGCTCCGAACTCCCGGTGTGACGGTAAAGGGGCGGCCACACAACACAGCGGAGGCCACGCTGTAATGAAACCTGATCAGGTTCTCGATGATATCTTGGCAGCAGCTAAAGTGATTTCTTTGGCAGCTGAAATTAATGGGGCTGCTGCTACTCGTGCGCTTGAGATAAAAGGAAAAGTAGAAGTAGTCCAAGAATCTAGTGATCATTATGATGGAGAAATTCCACAGCTGGAGCTTATGCAAAGAAGGAGCCTTGCTGAGCTGAAGAAAATGGAACAAAGTCAAGAAGAACGTGACAATCTGTAAGAGAAAACCAGAATTTCCCTTGGTAAGAGAAAGAAACAACCTCTGGAAAGTCCAGAATCAAAACTTTAGAGCGTAGAGCGTAGAGCGTAACTCTCAGACTTGCAGACATCACCTAAACAGAAAGAAAAACCCTCTCTGGCAGCAATGTTCCTGTGACACTTCAAAGCAGATCAGCTGCACCACAGGCCTGTGGAAAAGCAGTGGTGATTGTCCAGCTCCAGGCATCACAGGCTCCAAGGAGACACCATCTTTAGGTCTTAGTCCTATCTTCCTCTTCAGGCGCTGATAACTCTTATATAAAGAAATATATTCATTTTAAAGATCGTCCCTAAACAGCAAGCCCCCAAATCTTTTACTAAAATATAGAAGGAAAGTGGGATTATCTAAAGCAAAGTCTTCATTCAGCTTGTATTGGAACATGACCTGCTTGTGCACTTGCAATAAAACTGTTTCACAGATTTACAGAACTGCTACAGAAGGCAGTGACAGTAGCAATTTTGGTTTTTAATCTAATAATTTAGGATGTAGCAGTCAGAGACAGGAAACTGAGCATGGAATTTTAAATAGTTCATTCAAGTAAATACATTTAGAGTTTGGCTGTAATTAGTAGCATATGGGAATGGAATCCTAGTAGCAAACTGGGGAATAGCTCTGTTTTAATACTGTTCAAATCTGCTTGGAACCAGCAACTCACATTTGACTGAGGGATGCTGAAGGAAGTCAGGCAATAAGGTAAAATGGCAGTGAAAACAATTTGACTATTGGGCCCACTCATTAATAAAAATGAAAGATGAAAAAAATAATTTGTGGATCCTTTCTTCGTTTGGATGAACAACTTGGAGGCTTTAGAGCGTGCATGCCTGGGAATGTCAAAAGGTATGCCCCTCCCATCAAAATACCCCAGAGAAACTGCTGTAGTGTCCATCTAGTTTCTGTTTCACAGAGAAGTGCTAGGTGGGAAGCAGATGTATAACTGGCTTTACTTCTGAGCTGCAGGACATGGTGGGGCAGAAGCTGGAGCTGAAAGGTACCCACAGTAAATTTTTAATTGGAAATGTAAGAAAGAAACCCAGACTCTGTAGACACTTACATTTAAAGGGTGCTCTTAGAGGCCTTTCAGCTGGTCTTCTGCCACCGACTGTAATGAGACCCCTGGGTGACGATGCATTTAATCTGATGACCTAATTACAAACCAAAAAGTATTCAGTCTAAATGTGCATTGCTTTCTGGTCTCGTTCTTGAAATGGTTTGTAATCTGGAATTTTTTTTTTTTTGCTTTTTAGTACTTTACCATCTCCATCTACAAAGATCTTTTGCAAAATGTCTTGACAGCTGTGTGGAGTAATTGTTGTTTAAGTTCTTCTAAGTCATGTATTTATCCTGGGCGGGAGGCGGCAGATACAGACACAAGAATCTAAATTTGGCATTTTAATAAATGGATCTTAATTTGCATTTTTTGCATTCGTTTTACTGATGCTGTTAGAAATGCATAAATTAAAATAAAGGGATATCTGGCTGTGACAGTCTTTCTTAGAGTGTTCAGTGATGCAAAATAAAGTAGGTTTACCAAGTACAATTTAATTCTTTTATCCTTGAATGGATTTACTATTAAATTCAATTTACTATGAGATATTATGCTAAATATTATAAAGCAGTGACTACAGTATGGTACATAGGATACAGTGGCCATACCATTCTATTGTAGTCCCATTATAATGATAATAGTATATATCAACTTTTCAGAAATTCTGACATTTACATGTCATGAATTAGACCAATTGACATAACATTTGGACTGACTTCTGAATATTCTTTAAAATCTCATTTGCAGTGTTATAACTGCATTAATAAGAATGGAATTTAAAATTGTGTTTAGCTTAGCTGTAATACAATACAAATTTCCCAAGTTCAAGGGAATCAGCTAAAGGTTAAAGCAATTAACAGCTGCATTTAGAAACGAGAAAAAAAGGTAATGAGCAAGGGAAACTATATCAGTGTGGGGACAGTGGGCAGTCAGTCTCAGGATCTCCCATAGTCTGAATTCATCTGTAGCAGGGCTTTAGTGGAGACACATATGTGGAGTTTCTTGAGTATATTCCATGTTATCGATAAGACCAAGCAGTACAGTAGAAATAGAAAAATTGCAGTTGCGCTTGCAGTCGTTTAGTGGATTTTTTAAGCTAATCTGTCTTAAATTGGTGATTTTTGCATGTGCTACTATCTTAATGAATAAAAGATATAGCCCCCTGGTTCACTTAATGTATATTTATTGCAAACTTCCTCATTAATTATATGTTCCTAGGAATTCCAGTCTCTTTCTACATATGCAGAAGTTCAGATCTTCTCAAGTAGTGGTGGTATGAAGGGAACTGTATTGTAAATAAATTGGGTAAGAATTATAAAGTACTGAAACTGATGCATAACTGGTATTATTTTTAAATCAACCTTTAGGAGAATAATTCAGCTGACAATTAAGCTCATTGTTGTCACAGTTGGGTGACTGACTGAGCTTCAGCAAACCTGAGGATGCATTCATTGGTATAAAGAAAGACCTTAATATTTGCTGTATCCTGAGTTCATAAATAGAATGCCATTTGCTTTTAATTTAGTCAGGTTTATGCTTTGACATTTAATTCCCGTCTATTCAATGTCATTGTCTATATCCACTGTTTACAGATTGTGAACATGCTGACGTAGTATTTCTACAAATTCAACTTAAATTACTCAAGACAGCTTTAAATAAACCCAAGTTTTAAAACCTGTGTTCCAGATTTTCTAGTATTTGTCTGAAGTTTTCTTTACATTTCTTATATTCAGTAAATTTGGCTTTACTTGTGCCATTGATACTGATGCATTTTGCACTGATATCGTTTCTGCTGACAAACTAAGAAAAGGCATGATAGTAGTACCTATTTATATAACTCACTCTTTCCTACGTTGTTTATTATTATTTCTAGTCTATATTGCACAAGAAACTACTAGAAACGCTTACTATAGTGTCCTTTGATTATGTTGCAGGCTACCTATTTCTGCACTTCCTATTTTTTCTAAATGCTCCTACTGTTGTATTTCTTTTAATCTTTCCATTCTAATTACACTCAAGCTCTTCCTAATGGATTCCTGCTGCTAATCAGAACATTAGAAGACCACTTATTCCTTTTGACAGGGCCTCCTTTTATCCATCTCTTTAACCTTTTAAAATGGAGGCTCTGCCCGCTTCATTTGTTTAGATTTTGAAGAGGCTCTGGTACACTGTACCCTTAAAATGCTTCACCTTTTGCAAGTCCATGGTAACACAGGAGCTATATAGCATACTCTGCAAGTTTCCAGTTTCAAGATATCAACTGTAGAAATATCTACGTTTAAAAATTTCTGGAGAAAAGAAGCAGAAATGGGGCTACAGAATAGCAGTATAACATGCTGTAACTGTATAGCATGGCAGCTTCAGAAAATAAAAGAAAATCTTTTGTACTAAATCCTTTAGATGTTCTGTTTTGCAGACATCTTTCTGGACCAAATTATTCCAGTCAGGGTGCATGCAAGTGTGTCAATACACGAAGATTTTCAACAGATTTTCTGGAACCCACAGTTTTGTTGGATACAGTGGTGTGCCAGATAAAATGATGAAAAGTTCAGTGTGAGGGCTGGTATATCTGGGCAACATGCCTGAAGCTTAGAGAATAAACTCTTCTGTCTCTGCTTAGACTTCTGTTTAGCCTGTCTGGGCATCCATTTGAAGAATTCCTCCTTATAACCATTCAAATATACCCATTTGTGAAGTTGCAACCAAAATTCACAATTCTGTTCTTGTGTAACTTTATTGTGACTTTTTTCTTCGATAGTGAATTGAATCTAATCTCCAGTAAATTCATCAGACCCGTCCTTGATATATCAGGATATTTTCACTATTCATACACTAAGAATGGAAAAATAAGGATAAAATTCTCCAACAATACAAAGGTGGTTATTGAGTTAGCCTTAAAAATAAATCATTGTTCTGTGTGAAACAGAAAAACATGAAAAGATTGAAATCTCAATGCTTTCATTAAAGTTTGAGTGACAACAAGTAATTTTTTAATCTATCTGTCTCGTTTGAGTGGTCTCTTTCCTTATTGTCATTTTCAGTCTTCAGGCCCTTTAGCTGCAGCAGTTGAGGCTATTACAGGAACATATTATATAATATTTTAGATGAGCTGACTCCAGAAATTCAATCTTGTCTGGGATTTCACAGGTCTCAGGAGGTTTTCCTCAGCTCCTCTAGCAGGCATATTGTGTTGCCAGGTGCGCGTGAGGCTACAAATAATTTCTGATTTTATTGTTCATACTAATTTTTAATTCAGATATTCTGCATACTTCTGAGTTTCAAACTGAGTCTATAAGAGTGATCTGGGCATAGTCTAGATAAACATGTGCAGGCTCACTGCTATATACCTGTATCAGAAACTACATTCTTTTAAATTTGGTTTGACTTATTTGGCTGATTGCCTAGCTTTCCTCATTAAATAAATATAATTTCTCCTCGTAAACCTTCTACAATCCCAATAATTCTGGTTATCTCCTTAGTCCTCTTAATGTTTTCTATTTTTCTTCCTATGATTTCATTAGAGCCTATTTAAAGGAATTAACCTTTCAGAAAAAGAGGAAAATAAAGATGACCTTGGATTGTTTTCAGCATTTGGTGTGTGTAATTGATAGAGTTTGGATCATTTCATCCTCTGCAAACTGTAAAAAATCTCTAAAATCACTTAGAAGTACCACAACCCATATTCAATAGTGTGTTTATTCCTTAAAAAAATCATACCCTAGTAAGTAGTAATATTTGTTTTGACAGAGAGGCCTCAGTCACGAAAATGGGGGACTGGTAGCTCCTTAATAATATTTAGAAAAGAAAAAAATGCCAT